TTTTTTTTTTTTTTTTTTTTTTTTTTTTTTTCCTCTTCTTTCCCCCTCCTCTTCTTGACTTCTCCCCTTCTTTTCCTCTTGCTAACACAGAATTCCCTCAGTTGTACAGAATGAGCCCACAGTTGTTCTTGGTACTGCAGTAGGTGCCTGGGGAGATGGGCTGGTGCTCTCCAAGTTCCACAGAGGCCCGGACTGAAGGCTGTCACTGCAGAGTGGGAATGGCCAAGTCTGTGTTTGACACCAAGGCTGCTGCTACCAGCTCACATCAGTCTGTCCTAGAACAACTACGAGAGCACCATTTTAAAGGAACTTGAAATAGGGATGTGATCAACATGGGGCAAAACCAAAGCTTCAAATGTCTTTGCATTGGTTATAAGTATGTTGAGAGTGTAAAAAACCAGCCKAAAATATTGCCCTGCAACAATGAGCATTCTAAAAGCCATGACAAATGTGTCTTTTTGCTCCAACAGTCTGTCCTAAAATAGGCGTGAGTGTTCCAGAATACAGAAGGTGAAGGATAAACAATTGCTTGTTTACTTTTCCCACACTCAAGAACCAGAGTAAATGCAGCCATAGAATCCACGAAATTTTTCAGCAGCGGGAGTTGGGAAACAGAGCCATGAACTTACCATCCTGTTTGCTTAAAATCAGTGTAGTTTTCCCTTAAAATAGGTCAACACTATAATCAAAGAGAAAGGCACTTTAAAAATCACAGCAAATGAAACAAGCTGCTTTCAGAATCTGCTGAATAAGAGGTGGGGTTGACAGCCACTGTTGCTCATTTATCCTTGTGGATGCCCTCAGAAGCAAGCAAATGTTATTTTATTTGAAGGGCAGAGGATAAAGAGGATTGTCTGCTGGCACAAAAGGAACCAGTGTTGGAGCCAGGAGGTCTCTGCRGTGCCTTGTTCTGTGGAAAGGTCACCAGACCCTGTGTCTCTRTATTTCTCTTGTCACTTTGTCAGCTCTACCTTTAGTACCTTTACAGACAGGTGTAGCAGTACCATTTCCTACAACATTTTGGCTTTCYCTTTTGAAATACAGTAGTATTTCAGAAGGAAGCTTCCAACCGGTTTCGTTCACGAACATAAATACAGTATATAATATTACTCCATCATGCACTTTTGGGCAATGCAGGATCACAGCTTGTTGCCATAACCCTTGGCCATTCTTACTGCCTAGGTTCGGTTCTTCAGTGCTCAGGATCTTCAAGATCATTTAATCCGTGGCTTGGGGAAGACCCCAGGTTTAGATCCCCTGCAGCTGCTTCATCAGCCTGTCCTATCGGGTTTGCCATCTCAGTGATACCATGTTTATACAATGCACATGYACTGCATGCACCTACAAGCCTGCTTTATCTCTACTTAGAGTGCTGCAAAAGTAGATTTCACTATTCCTCTGCTTCTGGAAGGTCTTCCCTGACACCCAGGGTGATGTGATAACTATTCTGTCTCGTTCTGCCCATGTGTCGTGGGATAGCCCGATCCAGAAATCAAGCTCTCAGTGCATCACTTTGATGGGCTGGTTCCAAGTTACTTTATACCTCATTTTAATTTGCAGTATCTCTGTTACCTGTGTTCACTATTATATCACCTAATTCACTATTGATTTTTTTTCATTGTCTTTCAGTGCAGATTAAAGATACTRTATAATTCCTACTTCTTGGAATGTTAAATGGCTGTGACACATGCTGCTTTTACCCTACCTTTGTTTCTTTGAGTTCATCGCTTAAGAAAGGATCAGACAAAACATCTGTGTTTTTTCAGTTGGTTCAGAATGCAGAAACTTCTTAAAACGTCATGTTCTAAACACTGTGTTTGAATAGGAATTGCACTGCAAATTTTCCTCCTTGTTTCAGTAGAGAAACCAAATCTCTTAGAATAAACAATTTTACAATATCTATGCTTTTCCCTTATATTTTTATTTCTTTTTCTTTTTCTCACGTAAGTGGAAATTTTGGCTTCAGAAAGATGCAAGGTGAAAGCGTTCAGCAGCAAAGAAGTTTTATGTGGCTTCAGGACAGAGCTGTTGAGTGTTTGCYTGTCTCTATTTGACTTGAAAACAGTACCTGGAGATGGCTGTTTGTTTATATGGAGTGTTTGGGTGTGAGGGGCAAAGCAAGCAGATTAACATTCACATTTCTTCTCTGCTTTTTTTCTCTGGCTCCCACACATGAGCCATACCCTGCAGGGAAGGGTGGGGCAAATTGTGTGTGTTGCTCCTTATTTCACCATAAACTTTGTTCTGAGTACTAGGACTCTTAAGGGGAAAGGCAGACCCYGTTTTAACACCATTGGAAGTACGATTTACTCCTCTGCATAATCAATATTATGGTTAATGTGACTAGGGAGAAAGGTCAATAAAATCTGTATCATTCCAGAATGAACTAGATACAGGGGGACACTTTCAAAGGTTCAGGAAATCTTTGCGAGAGGGAGCCCGAATTGACACCATGCAGTCTCCTGGCCCCAAGGAGGAGTATCAGCAAAGGTATCAGGGAAATCCCAAGGTATGAGGGAAAAGTTGCTTAAACTCTTACAGCCCAGACACCATATGCCRGAGACAATTCTTGACCTGTGAAGTTTTCAGGGAAGGTGTGCAAGGCAGATGCAGAGGTAGCAGCAACTCTCCATTACACATATGAGGTTTTTGAGCTACAAACTTGCCAAAGGTTATATGGGGAGTATGTGCAGAGGCAGGAATTTATTACCCCTTGCCCAAATCTCAGGCAGATGCCAGATACAGATGGGTAGTTTGCTGAATGTCTCAGTCTGACTCCTGGAAAGTAYTCTTGCATTCCCAGTGTTACCAGTGAGTTCCCCAGCTTAGAATACATTTATTTTTAAACTGCACAAACAGGGAATACATGTTTTGACAAACATGTGCCAGAGTGTTGAGTGCTTTGCCCCTGAAACTTCATCATGCCTAACTGCTCATTAAACCTGCTCCCTGGGAGAATCCGTCAGTCCTCCTGTGAGCTCCCAGGCAGAGCCTGAGAGACTGCAAGGTGCCTTTCTCAATCCAGCCTGGCCCTTTTTTTTTGTTTAAATCACTAGCAAAGTTGATGGTAGAGCTTACAGAGAGTGTGTTCCACTCACAAAATAGACAAACTACATTTGAAATGTGGTATTTTATACCCAAATGTCTTTATCTCATTTTATCAGAACTAATTTGTTCAGCTTATTGGTGCAGCATAGGTTGAATTTTGAATGTTGCATTGATAACTCTAAACTGATACCAGTATGCACACAGGACAGCTGATGATGTGGTATCATATCTGGCTTCAAGGACATGTCTTACCTTGGGCAGAGTGGAGTCCTCCCTCAACAGAGTTTTATAACTCCTGAAGAAATCTTTCTCAGTGTTACATATGTATGAAGTGCAGGTGGTGGATGCTGAGCTTAGTACCACAATATGGAGCAAAATAATCTTGTAGTGGGAATTCCTGCGATATCTATCCCCAAGGTCACAGTGATGAGCAGGTGGCAACTTGAGTAAAAAGCAGGACACAAACATGTCAGAAGTTCCTGTAACCCTAGTTATCCTAGGATCTTATTTGTAAGGCAGGGGGGAATAACTGCATGTTTCAACCCTTCTCCTTACAGTGAAGTTCAGTAAAGCATATCTGTTTGAGATCCCCAATAGATCAATGCATTAGAATCACCACTGSTTGGCTGAGCCTGGAAGAAGTATGTGTGGCTACCCAAAGAGGCTTTTTCTCTCTCTTACCCAGGTCACGCATTTCTGCCCTCTGGTGTCCCAGCAGCAGCCTTGTTCTTTCTTCTGCCTGAAGCTTCTTTTCATTTGGTTTGGGTTTTTTAACAGGTTAGTTTTCAGGCAGGTGTGTAGATGGATTTGACCCCTTACATTTGCATTGCCAAACTGGGAGATGCTGAACCCAACAAAAGGAAAGGGGCCCATCTCTTTTGATTTTAGCTTTTTGTTGAAGTGATTGTGAAAGTGCATGCAAAGCAGGCTCTTCTGTTCAGGGTGAACTAAAGCCTTCCAAATGTAAGTATAGGGAGTTAATTACAGCATTTGCACAGCCCTTTTCTCACACATGGCTAGACCACATAATGTTTCATGRCATTACCAGCAGCTCTGGCAAAATCTATTTCTTGGACATTTTAGCTCCTCCAGTGGCTGGAGTCGTGGTGAATTTCTGCAAGTGCAAGRCACGATCAGCATCATGTAGTACCAGTGAAGCTTCTGAATCTGTAGAAGTGTATGGATTAGAGCAGTTATCTGATCAATAAGGTGTTTTATAAGTCACTAGTGAAATGACCATCTTCTCATTGAAGGATGTACATATAGAAGGTGTTTTTTAGACAATATAATCAAGAATGTTACTCATTTAAGTTGTCCTTTGCATTACATATCCACTCTTTGCTTTAGAAGTGACTCCATAGCTGGCTTGTGCTCCAGTTTTGTACGGTTTAGACAGTAGATGTCTGAAGTTAAATTTGATGCTATGGCCCTCCAAACAGCATTGCAACATGGGGGATGGGCAGCAGGCCTTTCTCCTTGATCTGTGATGTTCCCTTTGGGCTCCAGAGCTTCCATCACATCAGGGAGGGGGAAGGGAGACTAACGATATCTGGAAATCTTCATTGTAAACAAGGCCAATTATACACATGTCAATTACTTCAGTTTAAACAACCAATCRCACTATAATGGGGAGAGCCCTTTGAGCCTGAGGAAGGTGCTTTGAAATGCCTCTGCTCAGAGATCCCCTATTAATGCAGAGAATTGCCCCAGCAGCAGTTCCTGGCTCCAGTGAGTGGAGTTTGGTAGCAATGACAATRGAGCTGGGGAGATTGGGAGATGGATGGAAGTGATATGACAATAAAGGAGTTGAAATTTGCAATGAAACAGTAGCCAGTAGCAACTTGGCTGCAGGCTTGCTGTATCAGCCAACACAAATCCTTGATGGTAGCGTGAATGAATTGAAATTTTTTGTTACCTGCATGTGTAGTCATTGTCTTTGCATCCAGGAWGTTGTTTACCTTGCACTTTACTGACCAGTCACTTTCCCAGGAATTCTGCAACCTCATCTAGCTTTGGGTCTTTCTAAGCCTCAAGTTATCATCTTCTCATTTGCAGCACTACACTGCTTTTTTAGAAGGCCTGATCCTGTAGTGAATGGAGTCCACTGAGAATCCTTTTAATTTTGTGAGCTGCTGATCAGGCCCTATGTGGTTGAATCGTCTGTTTGCAGGTGAGTATGCTACCTTCATAAGTAAGGCTCCTCATGCCGGACTGTCATTTTAGAGGAGGATTCTTCCCATGCCACGTGGCTGCTCCTCTTCTAAACTTCCCTAATATTCACTGCATACAATCCCTGTTCGTACTGGAACTGATGTGCTGGTTTTGTCCTCCTTCATTCAGCAGAGCTGCGTCATCTACATGGAGACAGACACTTCAGTGTAATAAGGGCAGACATTTCTCCTGTACATGTGGAAGTGAATTCCAGTTTTAAAGCAGTACCTATGTGATGGAAAGAATACAAGTAAGTCACAGCCGGGTAAGACAAGTGTGTCTAACTGTCAGCTGGTAGAGGACTGTGTCAGTTTAGGTGAATAGCTGCCAAATAATAGATACACAGATGCTCTTAAATTGGTTTAATTTATGTCTGCTGGCCCTGACAATTGGAAGAAAAGATAAATATACACAAAGTCTTCAAAGCTTGGGTTGTTGTGATGCTAATTGAAAAGTCACCAAAGGAAGCCTGCATGATGTGTGGGAATCCTAGTGCATGAGATTAGTGGCTAATTAGTGGCTGGGAGCTGGAGGGCACTCCTCCCCGAGCTAGCTCACATTGAGAACAGGCAGCTTGGCCCTGGCAGGCAAATCTTGCCTGGATACGGCAGGGAAGCAGCTTTTGTGGACAAAAAGTGTGGGGATGGGAAGATACAAGCAGAGTCAGCGCTATAGCCCATTCTCTGTATATGCACAGAAGCAGTGCCAGAGACACYGCTCTCTCAGTGGCTCTGTTTCCTGTGCCACAGCAAAGATACAGGCATTTGAGAACTAAGCTCTTTTTTCTTTTTAACAAATGCACAAATCCTGTTATCTTACTTTCTGCTACTTTTATGCTGTGTTTGCAGCAGATGACAGAACACACTCTGGAATCCCTGAGCTTCAAACCTTGCTTTAGAGTCTGAGGTGAATGCATACAGATGGTGGCACCCCCTTCCTTGCATCGTGCTTTAGAATCATGACATTTAAAAAATAGAGGTTTCATCTGTCTGTCAGTGTCCCTGTATTTCCCACTAAAGCTCTTCCCTGAAGTACAAATGAAGTACACAAATCAGAGATTAAAAGAATACACTTCTGTCATATGACTCAATGAGGTTGGCCTTTAGAAAATTGTAGGAATTGGTATCTCTGATGCATCAGTGACACTACTGAACTAACCAGGGCTTGCTTTGATTAGCACGCATTTCTTTTTCTCAATTGTTTTGCATCATTTGTGAGAATCCCTTGTAAATTAAGAAAGGTTGTTTTGTAACTCTAAAGCATTACACATTTTTTTCTTTTTGTTATATTTGCTTTTATAAATCTGAAATGTGTAAACATAACTTTAAATKATTGCACAGCCTCTTGATTAAACTAACTGGTACCAAATCTCACACAGGCATCAAGTGCCAATACCAGGACAGTTCATTTCCCAACATCACAGAAGCYAGTGTCACTGGCTTTGTGAATAACACTGTTTTGCTCAAGCTAGAGTCACAAATGGGATAATATAATAAACCTGTGATCACCAGCAGTGGCCTGGGACCATGTGGGCTCTCGTTGTAGTCAGTTTTTCTGGTSATCAGTGCATGAGAACATCTACTCCAGTTTTTCCTTAACTCTAGTCAATCAACCCTCTTCAACAGCTGWTAAAAACAAGCTGAATCACCAATAAGAGCTAATTACAAAGAGGACATCCTCCATATAATAGCTATTCCATGTAGTAGCTACGTTGTATAAGTGATGCTATTGGGAGAGGTAAGGTTTGCTGGCAGAGCTAATACATGGTTGTAAAAAGTTAACAGGCTTTCAGACACAGAAATTCTTCTACAGGTCTGAAAGAGAAAATCAAGTTATTCTGGCCCATTCTCAAAAATTGTAGAGAACAGACATGACAGCCCTAGACGTGGACAGGCAGCTCTGTCATAGATAACGCCAGCTTGCAGGGCAGTCTGGAGAGTCCAGGTGCTCCAGGAATCTTAATAGCCTGTGTGAAGCAACAAATTCCTGAAAGCTTGCTCTTCGTTCAGTAAATGTTTGCAAAACAGGAATGAGAGATACAGAAAAAATCAGCATTTTCTGGCCAAATAATTTCCAGTTGGTTCTAGGTGGGTATTAGTAATACAGCTGTCAGTTTTCACATGATGGTTTTAAAACAGACACCCTTTTATTAGTCATCTTTTAAGATATCTTCCCTTTTTATCTTAAGCAAAATACCTATGGGTAGCATTACTGGTGGTTTCAGATACTACTGGACGGTAACATTCAGATGATACCCATGGAAGCTGGTCAATGCAGTGACTGATGCAGCATGGGAATCTGGTGACAGTGCTGCAAGCTGAAAGACAGTCCTTACAGGACCCTGGCAAGGAGCTCAGAGCAGATAAGGCATCTATATAATCTCACTCTGAGGTGAAAAGGGAGAAGAATCTCAAATAAAATATATTCAGCTGAATAGAKCTTGTGAAGGGACCACTGTTTGCTTGAATAGCTTTTGAGAGGACTCTTAAGAGGACTGGCCTGGCAGGCAGGTTGACTCTACCAAGATGCTGCTTCCTCTTGGGGATCACAAGAGAAAACCTTTCCCCTTTTCTTCTGGCCATATTGCAATGGCCCCTTTTCTTCTGGCCATATTGAAACAGCCTCTTTTCCTTCCCTTCTGCTCCCTGCCAAGCTTGGGGGATCTCTTGCTGCTGGGTGAGGAGCAGCTGGGCCAGACCAGCTACTTCCTCACAGCATTCAGTTAAAGTCAGGGCTCGATAGTGGTTGTTTGTCCATGGGTTCCTCTTCACTTGGGGGAAAGGCCCTCTCACAAGGGCATTCAGATAATGCAGGTGGGTGCCAGGTGACCACAAACAGTCCRGCCATCTCCCACATCAGAGTGCAGAGGAGGCTCTGGGAGAGGGGCTTATCCAGGTCTTGATCTCCTGTATTGCTGAGGAGTTTTGTGGGTTTCTGACAGGCTGTGTGTGCAAGATAAAACAGGAGAATGCTGTGAAGGAGCTAAAGAGAAGGAACTGCAGTGGAGTTTTCAGTTCTTATAGGAAATGTGCATGCCCCTATGGGCCTGCAGTAGCCCAAAGTTGTGTTCAGCTCTGTGAAGCCTGCTAGCTCARATGCAGGTATCAGGATTTCTTCTGGTTTCTGAGTCAGTTCCTCATCACTTATAGAAGGTACTGGACTGAGCTGAAGTTCTGCAAGCTTATCTGCTCTCATGTTAGCTAAAAACTCCTAAAGATCAGCACAAAGCACCAACCTGTTCCAAAGAAAAGCACCAAACACCAAACCAAAAGCTCCCATTCTGGAGCTTTTGTTGGATTAAAACCAGAAATGCATTAAGATGTTCAGAGGCCTGGAGCACCTCTTCTGTGAAGACCGAGTGAGAGAGATGGGGTTGTTYAGCCTGGAGAGGARCAGTCTCTGGGGAGACCTTTTAGAGTGGCCTTCCGGTATCCAAGAGTCTACAAGAGAACTGGAGAGGGACTTTTGACAAGGGCATTTAGTACTAGGACAACGGGGCATGGCTTTAAACTGAAAACTGATTTAGATTAGATATGAGGAAGAAATCCTTCACTGTGAGGTGGTGAGGCACTGGCMCAGGCTGCCCAGAGAAGTCATGGATGCCACATCTCTGGAAGTGTTCAAGGCCAGACTGGATGGGGCTGTGAGAAACCCGGTTCAGTGGAAAGTGCCCCAAACTACATAGTCTTTCACCCAGCCAAACCATTCTCTGATTATATGAAGTGAAAAATTTAAATGCTTCTTCAAATAAGGTATGTAAGCCAGTTTGCCTTGCAAAAGCTSTAACTGCTTTCTCCTGGTAACTTCCAAAATAAAACTCAGCTATTCCAAAAGCAAAAATAATAAATTCAKGTATTCAAAGTGTTAAAAATTATCTATTCCAAAATAAAATACAGTGTTTAAAATGACATCTGAGAGATCTATGTACATCTGGTTTAACTGTGGCAAAGCTAASGTGAGAGACAGGTCAAAATCAAGCTTACCATGGAGGCTATGTGCAACCTTTGTGGAGGAAGATTACCATCTTACTGGGCAGATCATGTTTCTGTTATTACCAATAATTATTTGGTTTATATCCTTTACTCTCCCCTCTTTCCTCGGCTATCGCCTCTGACAGCTGGAAGACTCACACAACACCTGGGGTGAAGCTCTGATGAGACTGAGTCAYGTTACTGATTCAGAAGTGTCTCAGATCGTATCACTCAGTGTGAGAATGTGTAGATCCTCTCCCCAAGGCACTCATGGTCCAAGCCAGAGAGATTGTAAGGAGGAGGGTCATAGYAGAGTAGCAACATCTCTGCTATTTTGAATATTGTGATTTATAGCTGTAGTTTTGCAATAAAACCCATTTTTTTTATTTTATTGCATTTTGATGTTGAAGCATATGAAATCTTATAGCTATTTCAGTGAAAACAGGCTGCCTTTTACATTTATGCTGAGGGAACAGCTTTTCTGTGCAAGTAGCCAGGAGAATCAAACTTTATGATGAAGCAGCTTGTTCTGAGCTGCTTTCCCTCACAGACCTGTTCAGAAAGTTCTGAGGGGGCAAATCCAGCCACCTTTACAGCCTCACGGGGTGACAGGAACAGGCTGCTGCCTCCAGCTGTGTGCAGAGACCCTCCTGCTCCACAGGAGCTGATCCTGTTACGCTCTGCAGAGCAAGTCTGAACAGGGTGAAATTAAGAGGAAATGCCAGTTCCAGGCCTCCCAGATGGCTCTGAGCTACTCTGTACACTAACTTTTTCACCCTCGGGAGGTTTTGCGTATTAGCTCCTCACCATCCACAAACTGCTYTTGGATCAGCCAGTGTTGGAAAGCCACCCTGCTCAGGTGATTGGGGGGACGTGAGCTCTGTCGTGTTTACTGGGCTGCCTCTCTGCTCTCCTGTTTTGGTAATCCTCTGTTCTCCTGCARGTATTAACATGTACAAGAAAGGTTCATCACAATAAATAATACCACAACTTGCCTTTTTTTCCCTGTCCCTTGAAGATACCAGCATACTTTTAAATCGGTCCTGGTGAAAATCATCGGTGGGCCTGCAGAAAGGTCAAAGGTTTGCTGGTTTAGGATTTCGTGGGAATATAYGCTTGTTTGGACTTGGCCCAAAAGCTTCGTTTACCTGTTTGACAGGTAACAATTAGCGAGTAATAGCTCTGCTGGCTGGAATGTGGCTGTGAGGGCCAGCGGGCGCTGGGTTACCTGGTGGGCAGGTGTGGGTGCAGCGCCCAGATAGGTATGTGCATGCACAGC